TCACTAATTCCTTCACCCGGTCGATGTCCTCCCAAGACCCAAATCTACGACCCATCCACTCCCCTTCACAGCACACCAGCGCCACATGGCTCCCCGACTCTTCATACTTCCTGCACGATCTGCAGGTCGCCTCCAAGTCCCCCTCCCCCAGTTTGCGTCTCCAGACGGCAAAGTCACCCTTACCTTCTAATTACATGCTCCTATGGTTCCAATATGTAAGCTCCCACAGCTACAGTAGACTTTCTCCGATAGCTGCGGTCGCGCTTTAGGGTAAGCTTCCCTGTCGCGATCCAAGGTTTAGTGTCGTTACAAGCATACCAGATATAAGCATATATGGTTACAAGCTGTCCCACATAGTAAATAAGCATATTTCTATTACAAGAATATTCTTATTTTTTTTTGGCTTAGTCACCATATATACATATGTTTGTAATGAGAGAAGCAATTAGATATGCTTATCGATATGAAGAAACTCTAGAGTGTATTCGAGTTGCACACCCAGGTCTCCAGCTTTCTCAGCCAACGTCATCGAGCTACAAACTATCCTAAGGGTGAGAGGAAACAAATTAGGACTCTTGAAATTCAGCGCAGGTATCAGCATATTCAGTGCAGGATTACTGACTTTCTGGGTCCTTCCGGAACCACCCTCCTCCTCCTGATATTCCCCTGCTTGTACTGTATTTACTCTTGTCTGGCTATTAGTTATTCGCATGCATGTATGCTTTATCTCATTCCTTGGCCTTTCTTACTATGCTTTCCTATTTCCCCTTGATATAATATAGGTATTGGTTACAAGCATATTTCCTCTGGTTCGGAGAGTATGCTTGTAACGAGAGTCATCTGTACCACTTATGTTAATCGCTAGACTAATGATTAATAATCAAAATATAACAGATTGTAATTTATGACTATTTGAAGATATGATCATTTCACTACTTCATCTTAGGCTAAGGGGTGTATGCTCTCTATTCTTGATATCAAGCCAATTTGTACCTTGCACACAGATGTTCATATACGCACCAAAATATACAGATTGAGCTTGATACTTGTATATCGCGCACTCACAAACAGACTGACACTATGCCCAATTGTAAATTAAGATATATAATAGGTATTTATTAGTCTGGCTTGCACTAGCCCTCTAAGCCAGACTAGGTAGTTATATCAAGAGCCTATAAGAGCGATTGGGAGAAATAGCCTACGCGAGCACGACCGAAGCCTACCCTAGAGCATGTATAGGAGTGAAGCTTACCCTGAAGCGCGACAGCTATCGGAGAAAGTCTACTGTAGCTGGGAGCGAATGGAGCCTACATAGGAATGGAAGAAAACGAGGAGTGGGACGCGGTAGAGGCCTACTTTGCCTACTTCTACCGGACCCTCGCCGGATGCTAAGGAAGACTCCCGGGAACTCACGGCCCGTCTTAGCTATGTAGTTTTTTTATTTTTTATTTTTTTTAAATACATAGCCGTGTCGGCGGGCGGCTTAATCTGCCTGTCCCCTGAATCTACCCGGGCTTCCGGGTGGCTCGTCATACGACTCTTAACGTTGCGCACACGAGTAATGAGTTCAAGAAAGGGGGGGGGGCATAGGAATGTGTAATTTGAAGCCTATAGCCGGCCAGAGCGCGTTGAGTATGCCTACCTATTATAGCAGTATATACAGTATCTATAAAAGCGCGTAGAGCATCAAGGGGCAAGCCTACAAAGAACACGACTGAGCTCGAGACTGATAGGAGGAGCGTGACCGGAATCAATAGGAGTAAGTACCGCTCTGCAGGCAGGGCCAATGGGAGTGCATACAGCAGATAGTTCCCAGGGGAGCGAAAAGCCAATAGGGGATATGTAGTGCGTGACTAGTAAATAGGCTTCCTGAGTTAGCATGACCGGGTGAGACGTGTTCAACTATGCGAATGGCATTCAGTTAACGTAACTGGTAAGTAATTTGTGTCTGATCATGAGATCAACTCAAGGTCTGATGCTGAATCTTCTCCGTTCATGAAATGGGAATTATACAAGTATATATATGCACTTACCATGCATAGGTGTACTCTGCTAATAAGTACTAGGGCATCACGGCAGTTATATTATAATAAGAGCCCAATGGTTGTACTTATCCCTAACTATATATTCTCTATATTCCTTAAACCATACAACAAATAGCATACATTACTCAATTATATCGAGACTGCCCCCTACATACAAAGTACATACTAAATACTTAATTTGCCCGACTTGAGTCTTACAGTACAATCTTAGCCTAATATAGCCAGTGTCCATCAGACCTAGACTGCTAAGTAGTCTATTATTGTAGTACTTACAGTGGCCAATCCGTCCAATCCATTGCCACTTCATCTCGATTCTTTCGATTTGTCTCATTGTTACAGCTGTGGTGGAAAGGGGAACGTTGTATATAGACCAAGTCACTTGACCACGGCAATATGTACAATCCGTGGGCAAAGGTCTTGGTGAAACATCGAAAACACAGCCAAAATAGCCAAAAGTGCCCATCGTAGATACCTGCATAATTGTACTTATCCTCTGAATTCTATGACGATTTTTGGTATAGAGCTTAAGCTTGATATGAAATCCCTAATTCCAAGTTTAGGGATCTAGAGCAGCTCCTCAGCTGTGCCAGCGATTTTTTGAAGTCAATGAAAAGTGAAAAGTTGCCAAAATACGCTATTCCCCATACAAATTAGCGCCATTTTTGCCTTTCTTGAAATGGCTTCAACTCTGTAGGCCACTGTACCTGTCCAAGGCCTCGCAGCTACCTCAAAAAATCGGAGAAGAGACTCTGAACCTCTTTCTTGAATTCCAAAAAAATTCGTGTTTTTCTCCTGCAAACTCGATTTTTAACTTTTTTTTTACGACGGCCACTTTTGGCCATTTTGGCTGTGTTTTCGATGTTTCACCAAGACTTTCGCCCACGGATTGTAGAATGAGGCTTGGCAAAGCTATCTCAGACTAGTATCATTTTTTACTTCCTTATACTACACACAAGACTACAGACTACCTGGTAAAATACCAGACTACAATACCAGACTACAATACCAGCCAGATTAGTACAATACCGGTCTCTTTATTGCAATCCATTTTAGTCTGGCTGCACGACCCTAGGTACGCTAGACCCAACATAGGAAGCAATTAGTAGCAAATACCTTCTCTACGAGAGGCAGTCCCCGCCAGACTACAAATACCTCTCCTTGATTACAGGTGAGCCTGGTGTATTATATAAGAAAATTCTACGAAGCGCTTCATCAATGAATGACTCTAACTCTTCAATCGATCTAGAGATTAGCTTAACTAGCTCGTGAGTACCTTCCTCGAGACACTACTCTCCTCAGCTTGGCATATCTAACCTTCACCTCTACAGACAAACCCATATCATGTTCAGCTTCCCCTGCCGCAAACGCCTCCTCACATCCCTCTCACACAACGGCCACCGTCTCGTCACCGCCCTCGAAACACTCGATATCCACCGGACCAAGCTCGTCTCCACCAAGGACTGCGTCTCACAAGAAGGCCTCCCCACATTTACTACTCTCTGGACCAAACGACTCAGCGACGTGCGAACCGAGTTTGTAGCAATAGAAGAAACACTAAAAGAATTACACGAGCAGATACTTTGCCTTGAAGGCGGGAACTTTTGGTTGGGCAAGTACGCGAAGGAGGGGCTGTTGAGGGAGTGGAGGAAGCAAGTATTGGTTCTGGATGTGCTGAGGAAAGCGGTGGAGGACATGGAGGTAATATGGAGGTGTGTTTACGTTGAGATGACACAGATGTGTGTAAGAAGTGGGGTGATGGACAGTGAGAAGAGGATAGTAGGGGAGTGGAATGAGGACGAGGAAGTGAAAGTGGAAGTGGAAGAAGCTTTCTTTGGGTAGGAGCAGGTGTAGTTAGAGTGAGTTGAGTTGGTTGGAAGAAGGCTGATCCGACTTGTTTTGGAGACACTGATGCCGTTACTGACAGCTAAACGTCAAAAGAATTACCTCACTTCACCTCCTACAAGCCAACTGGGTCCAGCTGGCTCCACACTGCAGAAGAAGGATAAGGTTAAAGGTGTGTCTACTGGACATCTTTCTCTTGTCCCAGGTGGGAAATTGGGGACTCTCCATCTTCTGGGCACATTGCCTGGATAGTCGAACTTGTCTTAATATATTATCATGCCACTTGCCCTAAGACCAGCCCAGTCCCTCCTCATCTTTACTAAATATCGACCTCTCTCGCAATAGTCATTACTCTCAATTCCAACTCTCTCGCTCTACCTTAACTCATTTTCACTACGTAACTATATTCGACTCTATCGCATTAATCACTCTCAATTCTCATTCCCCACACTCTATCCTCACTAATCCATACATATACAACTCCACATAGACTCAGTTGCCGAACCAATATGCAACTAGGAGGGCTGATATCAATACTACAGCTTGCTAAATGGTCTAAAACTTGTCGCAATGACCACAACCATAACTACTACAGGCTTTGAGCAGGCCCAAGCTTACCGGCCGGTTGTGGTGCTCTACTATCTCAAATATGATGCTCGAAAGGTATGTATGTCCCCATCTCGGTTGCTAACCGGGCGGAGCGGATTTTTCCTATATAAGGATCATTGTATATCACGATGGAACACCTTCCCAATGCGATTCCTGTGGTTTAGTTTTCGCTCATTGACTTACAGGCTTGTTGTCACAGTCTGGCAATTGATGTTGGGATCCTCCAATAATTTCATGACGTGACGCTGCGGCCGGCTTCTTGCTAATACTTATTTTGCAATATCCACCATGAAAACATTAATTGCGTAGGGACATAATGTTGGTTTCTGTTGTCGGGGTAACGTGTTGAGTACGTGGGGAAGGTTTCTAACAGCTATGGCAAGTGAGCCATGTTTCCGCGGATACCGACGAAATTTATCATGCATATGTGTGGCATCTTAAAGAGTAGATGCGCAAGCAATTTTCCATGTCATATGGTGCTTGCCCATTTCCAAATCAACAACAGCCGGTATGGTCTAATTGGTATGATGCCTGGCTCTTAAGTGGGGCACACACCAAAATGGTGTGGATATGGGAGTTCTTGGTTCAAATCCAAGTACTGGCTTTTTTTTTTTTTCTTTTTGACAGCTTCCTGCTGGATTTGGAAGTGCGCTAATCGACATATGGTAAGAAGGGGGAGGTTTCGGCTTGTGTAAGTTCGCGCGGTTTGTGTAGGCATGATTGTATGGCGCAGTGACTCTGATGAGTTAGCTCTTCTTGGAGGGCAGGTACCCGGTTGCCCGACGCTACCAACATGGGCTAGGTACGGTACATACAGCGGTCGTTCCACAACAGCATGACGTGACTTGACATGGTGTGATGGCAGCTTGTGTTGTTATTAATGCAATTGGATAGCCCGTATCCTTTGCGGTATTCTGAGTTCATTTAAATTTCCCCTCCCTAGTTATCTTGATATTATGCAGGCTTGATTCAGTATGTTGTTTCGTGGATACCGTACCGGGCGGGTGGCGGCGGGATTTCAGTGACCGAGAAGACCGGAGATGTAAAGAGCCACGAGCAGGTAGTCTTTGTGTTTGTAATGTTACGCAGTGTGGCCATGGTTGTGTGAACGTTGGCAGATCTCCTTTGCCCCAAGTAGGTATCATATTCTCCACTTTTGCCGAAGAACTGAGGGTTTGGTAGTTAGGTAGCCTGCCTGAGCCTAGGACCTAAATATTTCCGGTAGAATTGAATGCGCCCGTTCGCAAACACTTGGGGAACTGGCCCCGTACGCTTCAATCTCAAATCCATAAAACAAGGAAAAGCGTAACTTAGTCATGCATCCCCGGCCGGACAGAAGATGAATTAACTACTCCTCGTGGATAGCTATATAAGTGATAGTTATCCCAGTGCTAGCCCGGGAAAGAAGATCTAGAAGAGGCAAACACCACAGACTATGCGGTTTCGCGATCGTAAGCCCATATAGATTGATTGTTTATTCTTGCATTCGGCTGGGTGGTTGGCGTGGCGAGTATATTGCGAGTTGGGTTGGGATGGAAGCAATAAGTTGCGTTGCAAGTGGAAAATGGGGGGGGGGACACTTACTCTGCATAATTCAGGGTAACGGACTTTTACTTTCCCTAGATATTACCCTGAACACCAACCACCACGATATTACTGGTACTTTATTATCAAAACTATTTTTTATATATCCTAGCTGCACTGGCACCCCCCTTGTGCATAAGAAAATTGAACTTGGTAGCATGCAACTTCCTTGGAAATCCAAAGCGCAGATCGGGGCGAAATTATCACAGTGGAAAATTTAAGCAGTGATGGATTAGGTACGCTTTTACACTATACTCAAAATTATTAAGTATTGTTCGGTTGGAGAAGGCTTATTGTAGACGACGGTAGATAGAGCCGCACGAGTGATTTTAGTTACCCTGAATACTATTCGCCAATGTTGCACAAGTCCACATTTACTTGGAAATCAACTCGAAAATCACTACTAGATACACAAATCCATGCTCCTACCCGAGAAACTCTGACTCCAGAACCTTTCTTCGCGATATAATAAACGTAAATTTAACCTATTATCAGATGAGGTATGGTGTATAGCACCACAGCAATCGTATACTCCAATCCAAATATATACTCGGAAGTAGATAAACATCAAGCTACTAAGTTCTCACCTCATTATGCCCATGCAGGACCAAACATCTATTATCTGTAAATCCATCAAAGCTACCTTCCTACTACCCACGAAAACCTCTCACTGCCACATATGCAGCCACTTCCTCCTTCCTCTCCTCCTCCCTCTCCGTTCCCTCCCTTTCCCTTCCCCTTCTTTGTCCCCTTCCCCTTCCCCTTCCCCTCCCTCTTTCTCATCCTCCTCCTCCTCCTCTCCTCCCTCTTCTTCAACTGTCTCAACTTCGCCGCTCCCCATCCAATCTCCCTAACCCCACTCATCTCCCTCATCAACTCCTCTTCCCCCTCCTTCTTCTCCCATTCCCTCTTTTCCTCTTCTTCCCACCCTTTAAGCACCCTATCCCTCACCCCCTCCCAAACCTCCTCCCCTCCATTATCTCCAGACCTGTTCAACTCAGCCACCTCTCTCTCCCCTTGCCAAACCCTCATATCCCTAATCTTCTCCATCACGGCCCTTTCCGGCCCTTTATGCAATTCTTTATGCACGCCCTTAAGCGTATACCCGATCGTTCCAGCTAATCCTCCCCCCACCGCAAACACCACCCTTCCCGCCGCCATACCCACCCCTTTAGCGAATCCTACTGCGCCAGAGGTCTTAGCTCCGCGGTATGGCTTGATGGCGAATCCCGTCACAGTGTCATAGAGGCCTAGTGTGACTTCCTTCCCTGCAGCGCGCAGGCCAGAGTGGATACCAGTGATGCGGTGGGGGCGGCGAACTTTATCCCCATAAAGGCGGGGAGCGTTGTGGAAGCCTTGCGCAAGGGCAAGGGAGATGTCCATTGGGAGACGGAGGCCAGTGCGGAGGATAGAGGTGAGGGAGTGGGTGGTGCCGTGGAGGACGTCTTTTGAGATTTGATCCCCTCCATGTTCCTCATCCTCATCCTCACCATTGCCCGAGGAAGCTTGATCTTCACATGCCTTTTTTGATTTTCCAGCTTGCTCTTGCTCAATCCCATTCTCCCGCTTGTGTCCCTTCCGCTCCCAGATTTCCCGTGAAATCTCAGCCACTTTACCAATCTCACCATTTTCTACTTTTGCTTCAATATTATACTCCTCAGAAACCCTCTTCATGCCTTTATACCACGTATACGGCACATCAAACAACTCCTTCGCCACCCCCCCAAGCGCAGTAACTATCGCCCCCGCCCCTCCCGACAGCGGTTCTCCTGGTCCGTCAAAATCATTCCACTCAGTATGTCTCACTAGCCTGAGATCTTTCCAGGTAAACTTCCCTTCTTGCACAAGAATATACGCCGCGACAGCAGATAACTTAATTCTTGTTCTTCTGACTCTCCAGACAGCGACAGCTTCGGGGAGAATGGTACAGCGGATTCCGACGTCTTGGATTGATTCTTTGTTGGTGGAGTCTAGGTCTGTGATTAAATCGTCCGTGATTGCAGCACCATGTGCAAGAGTACGACTCTCCTTCCTTCTGAATTTTTCTACGAGCTTGACCCTTGATAACGGGCTCCGGGAGACCTTCGCCCCCGGCTTCTTCTCCATTTTAAATCTATCACCACCACCCCTCTCCCTCGCCGCCACTGCCGCGGTCGTATTCGCTGCCCCCACCCTCGCCACCCCCGGCACCCCCTCATCCACCCCCTGCACAACCCCTCCCTCACCGAGAGCATCCGACCTCCTCTCCTTCCTCATCTTCCTCTTCCTTCCCCTCTCCCCCACATTTTTACTAACCCCTACCGTCTCCAAGGCCCTATAAAAGCTCATGACTGCATTCCTCGCTCCATCCCCCTCCTTCCCAATATTCTCCGCCAACTCCGCTGCTTTCCCAGCCACCTCCCCCGCAATAACCGTCCTAATCCCAATCATCAGCCTCTCCTCATCCATCTCCTTAAATGGACACCAGTCTCCCGCGCCAGCGTTCTTAATCATCTGTCCCCAGAATGGCTGGTCTCCAAAGAAGGATACAATAAACGTCGGTTTCCCGCATTTCAGTCCTATAGCCGTAGTCCCCGCGCCGCCATGATGGATCACAGCGCGACATTTTGGGAATAGCCAGTCGTGGGGGGTATTGTCTAGCATGAACACCTCTTCTGGGACATTATCTTCCCCGCCTAACCCCCCCCATCCTTTGGCTACCAGCGCCCTTACTCCAGCTTCCTTCACTGCATTAAAGATAATATGTGTCAGCCCATCGGGGTCATCAACCACAATCGACCCAAACCCAATATATATCGGTGGATTATCCGGATCCTGCTCCAAAAACTCCTTAAGATTATCCGGTGGCGTAAAAGTATCTGCCTTCCCCAAAAACACAAACCCACTAATATCTACATGTGGGCCCCAATCCGCCGGCTTAGGGATTAAAGAGGGGCTCCACATGTACGTCGTTGGGACTTTGAGTCTGGAGAGGAGACCCGGAGCCCAGAGCGTGCTGAGGGGTTCTAGTCCAAGGCTTTCCTTGCGGAAGCGATTGATGAGATCTCCCAGTCCTTGCCAAGTCATCAATTCCACCAATGAGTAGGAGATGATGTTTGTATATGCGGTCTCGAACTCGCTTTGGCTGATATTTGCCAATGGATGGGGGATTGTGGCAGTGGGGGTGTAGGGGAAGGTGAACATAAGATGGAGCGGGATACCAAGTTTCTCTGCGCAGTGGATATGTGCGAAGCTGGGTGGGTTTGCGATGATTGCGTCTGCGATGAAGGGGGTTGTCCCGGGGAGGCGCTGGATGGCGGCTTTCTTTTTCTTCCTCTGAAACCTTTTCTTGTTCTTATTCCCCTCCCCCTCCCCATCCTCGTCTTTGGGGAAGGGGGGAGATGGAACCCTTTTCTTCGCATCCTGAAGCACATTCCCCGACGGCTCCACACAGCTCCTCCAAAACCCCTCAAACATAATCCTCATCTGCTGCCTCCGTCGCGCTACCTCCCCCGCCTTGATTGTCGCCAAACTCGGCAGCAACCCAGGGTTCTTGACCATAAATGCCATCAACTCCTGCGGGTCACCCCCAACACTAAAAAACTCTCCTTTCCCGCCTTTGATTCTACAACTCTTTCCCTTCTCCTTGTCCTCCCCACCCCACTTGCGCTCCTGCTCCTTCTCACCCCGCTCCTCTCTCTCAATATCCTCCTCCATTACCCGAAATTCTTCCTCAATAAATTCCTTAAACTCTGGGTGTGTAGCAAGTCTTACTCTATGTCCCCACTCTCCAACAAGCACCTTTGCCAGTGCCACAAATGGCTGAATATCCCCCCTCGATCCAATAACCATTATCACTATATTCAACCTCGGTGGGACGATATCTAAAACTGGTGTAGAAGTGTTTGTCAGGTTGTTAAATAGGTTTAAGGAGAACTGCTGCTTGAGAGTAGAGTCTAGGAGGGAGGAGAGCGGGGTATCTTTTGTGCTGCCGGGGAGGTGGTTGAACTTGATGTGTACACGCCCATCATAGTCGAGGTG